ATATATATATATATATATATATATATATATATATAAATATATATATATATATATTACTTAAGCACCGAATAAAGAGTGTTTACGTTTTTGGAACATGCTCATTGTTTATATATATGTGTATGTATAATGTCCAAAGTACACCCATTTTTCGGTTCCGCCATACTCCTCCATTAAATGAAGAGTGCGTATTGGCTACATGCTAGACTTAGCTCAAATATCCATACCAATCAATATAGTACTAAAATTGATTGATATTGATATAGAGTAAAGAAAGCTATCCATATATTAGATTCTATAAACTTTAAATCAATTCTCATTTTCGATGGGTTCTCTACATACATATATGTAAATAGAAATCGAAATTTGTATTTAGAGTACTCATCGGCAGTGTGAACGAGTATCTGGCAATCGGTTATACACGAGAAAAAGAAACGCTCTGCTGTTCTTTCCTTCTTTCAACCGAAATCGAAATAATTCAGTATGAATGAAAACAGTTGTTGTGCCGAATTTTTCTGGTTTTGGCGACATTGAAATGTGATTAGTTTTGAATTGGTGTCTGATCCAATCGGCACGGCGTTGAAGAGACAAAATTGAGATCACGATGAAGTTCCTGGATAAGTTTGAGTTACCCCGGGCAGGTAACAAATATTTCTAGTGCAGCTCATAAGGCACGAATCTTATATAGTAATACCACCGCAGATCCTGAAACAAAGGAATTCCCAATATTGGACTCGGCATGGCCATCGACTCTCATATGCTTGGGATATTTGCTATTCGCACTCAAGCTTGGACCTATTTACATGAAGAATCGCCAGCCGTATAACGTGAAGCCCTTAATGCTCATCTATAATATCGTACAAGTGATCTACAATGGAATAATGTTCTCTTTTGTAAGTATTTCTGATATCACGATTTAAATGACAACAATTCAATGGAGTTTCCTTAAAAGGGGGTGTACCGAGTCATCATTAACCCGGCGTATGACAATAAATGCATGGAGACCCTTCCGCTTGACCACCCGCTGAAGCCAACCGAACGCTTGGCTGCATACATATTCTTCTTGAATAAGTTGCTCGATCTGGTGGATACCGTATTCTTCGTATTACGAAAAAGTTATAAGCAAATAACTGTACTACATCTATACCACCATGTCATTATGGTCTACGGTACGTATTGGGTTCTGAGAATGTACGGCACCGGCGGCCAATACGCAATGATGGGATTCTTTAACTCCTTCGTGCATACCGTCATGTACTCCTACTACTTTGTTTCGGCTCTTTATCCCGAGCTCAAGGGCAATCTTTGGTGGAAGAAGTATATCACTCGACTCCAATTGGCGCAGTTTATTTTGCTATTCTTCCAACCTATACATGTGCTCATCTTTAATCCGACTTGCGGATTTCCATTGGGACTGCATCTAATGCAGCTGGCGGCGGCAGTATCCTTCATAATCATGTTTAGCAATTTTTACTATCATGCTTACATTAAGCCCAAGCCATTGAAAACACAGTGAACTACAAAATCTTAGAATATAAGAACAAACTGAATTACTAGACGAAATATACGGAATTTTTAAGGCAGCAAATCGTATTAAGCTAAATATATGTACAAAATCTCTTTAAGCTCTACATATATATGCTAAAAAATTTCGTATCGAACTGTACGATATATTAAAACTGAACTGTGCAATATCTCAAGTTTGTTTTATTATATAACAATATTAAAGTATATATAGACTTATGAAATCAATGTTCATTCTGTTTAATATATATGTATTTATACTAAAGTAAAGGTTGAATATGAAATTATTTTTGATTTGAATACGTGTGTTTTCTTCTGTATGCATGCTGAAATATTTCTTAGTGTACAACATTTCCCCATGTATCAGTACTTATATCCTTATGCATTAGCAATTCAAGCATGAGCGCAGCAGGTCAATAAATGCTTGAACTGAATCAATTTCTATTTGAATATAAAATATGCCCTGTAGCATTGAGCGTTTCAATTACGTAACGCCAAACGTAGCACAAAGGCGAAGACATGTTTCAATAATTATTATCAATGCAGAAATTTATATATACTTTTGTATTTAGTAGATACTTGAATGATATCGTCGCTCAATTTCTTATCTATAATCGCACTCAACTCTGGATTAGAGTGCTCAACTGTCGACATATTCTCACCATCTATTGCTGCCCATTGCGAATTAATTTCTTTGACTTTGCATTTAAGTAGCTGTTGCTTAGTGCCGATTTCTATTTGATAGCCGCAGTTGGGGCTATCAAGTCAGTGGAACCTTGGAAGACAGTGCAGCAAAATGGGCGTCGACATAATCGAACTTTTCAGTAGACCTGCAAAGGGTACAATGTCCTATTTGGGTGTTTGTGCACAGTTTAAAGACTTTATGTTTTCGAATAGATCCTGTTATGGCTAGCTCGTTTCCATTGATGAACTCGGGATGGACGGTGACACTTATTCTGGTCCTCTATTTGGCATTTGTGCTAAAACTGGGTAAAGTCTTTATGCAGAACCGCAATCCATACAATATCAAGAACGTAATGCTGGTCTATAACGTGCTGCAGGTGATCTACAATGTCGTACTCTTCCTCTATGTGCGTACATGATCAGATTTCTCCCTAAAAGTGATTGGCTATTAATATAAGTGTCGCTTGCAGGGACTCGATATGATCATCATCAATCCAGTGTACAATATACGTTGCATAGAGGTGCTGCCCCTGGATCACCCCATCAAGGCAACTGAGCGGACTCTGGCATATCTGTACTTATTGAACAAAATCATCGATCTGCTGGATACAGTATTCTTTGTGCTGCGCAAGAGCTACAAACAGATCACGTTTCTGCATGTGTATCATCATGTGCTGATGGTTTTCAGCACGTACTGGATATTACGTATATATGGTGGCTCTGGCCAGTTCCATGTGATGGGCACATTGAATACCTTTGTGCATTCCGTCATGTATGCCTATTACTTCATGTCCGCCTTGAGTCCGGGCCTCAAGGACAGTCTGTGGTGGAAGAAGTACATTACCGAAATTCAGCTAATCCAATTTTTCATCCTACTCGCTCAATCATTGATCGTATTGATATTCAATCGGAGCTGCAAGTTTCCCATATTTTTGCAGTATGTGCAACTAACTCAGGCAACGGTCATGATCATTTTGTTTGGCAAATTTTACATCAATTCATACATCAAGCCAAAATCAAAGAAATCTCAATAGAAACGATGCGCTTATTTTCGTTTCAAATTATAAATTAGAGTAAAAGAATATTATTTAAAGAAAGAAAACTTGTTTTTCATTTATGATCACGGCGACTTTTGTGATTGAGCTATATATTTATGTAATTCGAAGAGAGTACTACCTGCACTCTGTGTCTAACTTTCTATGGACTGCACTTTATATAACCTTGAGTTCGAACCTGATATCAACTACTTAGCCGTATATACTACAGGTAGCGTTTATTAAGTGCTCAATTAAGTGAATATCTAATTACGATTACAGCTTTGATCGTATCTTATAAATATCAATGATCAGAAATCGCATAGAGCTTTTGTTTCAATCGCGGTATTTGTCTGAAGCTTTTTCAAGAGCTTTTAATTATTCGTATTCTATCTGTTCCATTTCAACTTTGTTTTTATTTCTAGTTCTACAGTGCTGAGAGCTCTAAAGCAACCTAAAAACTATTTAATTAGATATGTATTGCATTTGACATTCGCATTCATTCGCAAATCGTATAGCGAGCTTAATAGACGAAAGGTGCCTTTTAACCATGCTCAATATTTTCAATATACCGTCACCTGGTAAAGTAAATAATTCATATATAAATGTGAAAGATTATCTATCGACTGTATTGATTTACACAGATCCCAATCCGTTGCCCCTAACGAATTCACCATGGCCGATCTTTCTGATCGTCACAAGTTATTTGCTATTTGTTCTCAAAGTTGGTAAGATCTATATGCGAAATCGAGAGCCGTACGACTTGACAAATGTGTTGCGCGTCTACAATCTGGGCCAGGTGGCATACAATACCATCGTATTTAGTACTGTGAGTAAATATTGAATAATTTCGATTTGGATTTGTGTATTACAATTCTTTTTTTGTTTTTTCTATAATATTTCAGACATTCTACTATCTGATCATTGAGGGCATTTGTGATCTGCACTGCATGGAAACGTTTCCCTTGGGGCATCGGCACAAAAACATTGAGCGCTATATACACTATGCCTACTACATCAACAAGATCATCGATCTGCTGGACACGATATTCTTTGTGCTGCGGAAGAGTTACAAGCAGATCTCATTTCTGCACGTCTATCATCATCTGATAATGGTCGTTGGCTGCTATTTGGTTATGCGATTCTATGGCACCGGCGGTCATTTCAATTGTCTCGGCCTGTTCAACACGTTTGTGCATGCCTTTATGTACTTCTACTACTTCCTCTCGGCGCATTATCCGGGCGTCAAAGCGAACATCTGGTGGAAGAAGTACATAACGATAACACAACTCGTACAGTTCATAATTATCTTCATTTATTCCGTCTACGTGCTGATCTTTGCCCAGAACTGTAGCTTCCCCAAAGGTTTGACAATGCTCCTCGGCTTTCAGTCGTTGCTCATGATGTATATGTTTGGCAAATTCTATATCAAAACTTATACAAACGACCAGAAGAAACCCAAACAGAAGTAAGCATTATGTACAAGGTATTTTGTTTTTGTTTTCTTTATTCTAGAAATGGAAATAAAGTTGAATGGAAATGAAATTAACATTGCGTTTGTGTATTTTGTCTCTTAGTTACCTAATGACCAAAGGGCCTTTCTGTGATCTAGATTCGAAATAGACAATAATTTGCAATTCATGTGTGCACCACACGCCGCCCCACAGTGGGGCAATCGAAGGGGGCAGCTAAGGGCGACTGATTCGCAATTTATTAAGAGACCGTCGCGTTACAAATGGCTGAGAAAAGTAGTAGAAAATGCCGTAGAAATGGCAGCAACAGCTTGAAAAATAGAAATTGCTAGCCGGAAAAACAGCTGTAGGCAATCAAACAAGCACACACACACACACACATCTTCACATAGAGAAAGAGCACATTGTTAGCTGCACTTGATAAGCATGATTCAAGTCGAGTGGGAAGTCCAAAAAACACTCATAGAGTAACGATGTGCAGTGCATGTCGGCATGCATACATGCACACACATGGACTCCACACTCACACACACACACACACACATAGGTAGCTGACAGTTTCCGCTTGATTTTCGAAAGCAGAGAGCTTTAACTGAAAGTACTTGACTGCGAAATACCCTTTCTAAGGCGCACAAAGTGAAGAAGAGACTTGATTGTGATTTACTTGATATCAAAAGCAAGTAGAGTGCTTGATTGTTGGATACCCTGTAAATTGCTCATAGGAATATAAATTTGATGTGGAGAATTTTGTGAACCAGAGCTTGCCAGATGAATATACATATATAAGTTAATAAAGTAAAGTTCACTTCTATAAAATACATAAATAAATATAATAAATATTTGAATTCATAAACCAGTCTATGGATTATTTTATAATTTAGTTATTTTTCTAATTTATTTAATTATTTAATTGATTTATTTATTTAATTTAAATAATTTAATTATTTTTATTATTTTATTTTTTAATTTTTTTTTTATTATTTTATTTTTTTATTATTTTTTTTATTATTTTATTTTTTCAAATTTATTTTTAGAAGTTTATTTTTATTTTTTTTTTTGCTATTTTTTATTTTATTCGATTTTTAGTTTTCTTATATTTATTATTATTATTATTATTATATTTTCTTGTTTTTCTTTTTTTTTTTTTTTTTTTCTTTTTTTTTTTTTTTTTAATTTTTTGTTTTTTTTTTTTTTTTTTGAATTTTTTTTTTTTTTTTTTTTTTTTTTTTTTTTGCTATTTTTTATTTTATTCAATTTTTAGTTTTCTTGTATTTATTATGAATATTATATTTTCTTGTTTTTCTTATTAATATTTAATTTTTAATGCCCAGATTTTTTCTTTTTCATTACTTTTATTTTTAGCAGTGTTTATTATATTTTTTATTTTCTTTACTTTTTTATAAAACATTAATCGATTTTTTTATTCACTTAACTTCAGCAGTGTTGAATTCTCTAGACATTTTTAAGTTCACATATTTTTGTAGTCAAAGACAACTGTTGCTAAATTTTCCAAGCACAAAAACAAACCCCCATAATTCTGCCAACAGGAACGATTGTCCATATACACATTATTTATACAGCAAAGACCTAGATGTTTTCTAGGTCATAAATTCCCCTCAAGACATCAACAGCTCTCAGTTGGCAATAGAAATCAATCGAACCCATCACTCAACTCACTCAACAGGGTATAAATTGCAACTGATAAGACAGCCGGCAGCGTTATAACGGCAGCTCTAGCCAAACTGCGCTGTGTGGCAAGCGAAGCGAAGCCAGGACAAGCAACGGCAAGCTGCATTTGTGTTGCCCCAGCCAAGTCGAAGATTTTTGAAGTGGGTTTGTGTGTTCTTTATTTGTTATTTTCATTTTATTTGTGCTTATTTTTTTGCTGCCACTGCTAACAATACAAATATGGCAAATGGCAATTGAAAAACAAAAGTCTCTCGGGACAGCAACTGAAATCCTTTTCCATGTACTTTCACACTTTATGCGCTTAACAAAGACGCGATGACAAGATGAAAAAGAAACAGCCAAAGAGAGGAGAGCGGGTAGCACACATACACAGGGGAAACCGCAACGAGGTCAGGAGCATGCAAGCAAGGATAAAGAAAATGGACAGGCTTGTTAAATAGCGGGAGGGGAGCCAACGGGGGGAGCTGTTCTAAGAAGCACAAAATTGGCTGTAAAATGAACGAGGCATTCAGAGAGGGTTACGTGGAAAAGAGAAAGACTGGATTCCCACTAAGTCTTATCTGGTGTCTCTCTGTATGGGTGTGTCTGTGTGTGTGTGTGTGTCTCTGTGTGTGTGCACATTTGAGACAAAGTCAAATGGAAATCTGCATAAAGCCCTTCAGGCTGCATTGATACGAGCAGCGGGCGAGGCATTCGATTACACACACACACACACACACACACACACACAGAAACGAAAGATCTGAACGAGCGCCGGGGCTAAGCCATAGAAAAGTTTCCTTTCAATTGCACAAGCAAAACGCGTGCATCCAAAGCATGTATATGTATGTATGTATGTATATATACATCTAAATTTATATACATATACATACATATATATGGATTTAAATGCGCTTTTCAGCTCCTTAAACTTAATAGGATTTTGCTTAACAAAAATAAACTTCAACAAAGCGCAAAACATTTGCACGAAAAAAAGACAGCAAAGATGCGGTGCGAGAGAGAGATAAAGAAAAAGAGAGAGATAGAGAATGCGCATAATTGAAATTAATATGCAGCCACATAAATTCCATTTAAAGCTCAACTACTAGCTGGCTCAATTAGGATTTTTGCAAGCATATATGCTGACACACACACACACACACATATGCATATATGTACATATGTGTGACCCGTTAGCTTTGGTTGCAACGGCGCTTGCCAACTTGTGCCATAATTTACACTCTATCGAACGATAACAAACAACCTGCATAATGTATGGCGCTTTATAAACTCCCAACAGCGTATACAGCAGCGGAGGCGTGGTCAATGGGCGAGGACGAAAGGAAGAGAGTGACAGAGAGAGAGAGAGAGAGAGGGAAAGAGAGTGTGAGCAAGTGGGTATCGCTAGATATAAAGGGACGTTTGGCTATTGAAGCACAATGTTGTTATTGAACGATGGGGTCACAAAGTGGCACAAACAGCGCTTGAAGATGTGCGGCATCGTTGTCTACGTATGTGTGTGTGTGCGAGTGTGTGTGTGTAGGGTAAAAACTATAAAATACTTGCACACGCGCTGCTGCTGCATTATCCTTGAATGCCAGCCAAAAGTGCATGAAAAACGCTGTCACTAACAGCTATACAGGTGTGAATATGTGTGCGTGCGTGTGTGTGTGTGTAGCAAGGGCACCGCGAGGGCTGATCTTGATTGTTTGAGGGGATTAGTATTAATTAAAAGTGAAGCGGCATAAATTGGGAACGGATTGAAGTCGAGCTATTGCTTCAGCTCGAATGTTAATTTAATAATTTATTTAAAAATATATATAAAAGAATAGAATATAGACATAATAATAATATATATAATAAATTGATTCAAAATAAAATGTCCCACATAAAAAAAAAAATAATTTATTAAATAAATAAAATTTGGGAAATATTTTTTTTTTATTATTTTAACAAAAGTTAGATTGAGCAATATAATCCAAAATGTTAATTTATCAAAAATATTTTTAAAATTTTAAAAATATTTTGTTTATATAAACAGAGAAGAAAGGTAAAAAAATATGCATCAAAATCATTATTTGTATATTAACAAAAAACATAGGTACAAGTCTATGAAACCAAAAGCTAACCAAAATTTAGAAATGAACCTGAAATCTTTTGGTCATGGTCATGAAATCAAAAGCAGAATAGAACTCTACCAATAAACCAAAAATGATATTTTATTATGAGTAAATACATAAACCGAAAACAACTTTATAAGCAACCCTCGTGGGTGTTGCAAAATAACTTTAAGCTTACGCAGCTATTACAAACTTTGATAGACTTCATCTTCGCTTTAGACTACTCTCAAATTGAGTTCTCCAATTACCCTCAACTCAAATGAAGCAACTTTGAGTGCAACCCTCGCTAGCTAACGCTAACGCTGTCCACCTTTAGGACTTGCTCGTTGCCGGTTATGTGCTCCATGTGTTTTGCAGTTAATTTGCACTTTCACGCTTCATTGTCTTCTGGCCTTGTGCAGCAGTGGCGACCGTGTTAGACCAGACTAAGAGCATTAGTAAGAGGTATTAGTGATAGAGTCGAACGGGTGCTTTAATGACCCTTTGGCTGAAGCTCAAGCATTTTGGTTATTCATGCTGATGGCGGCGGCCCCAAACATTTTAAATGGCACGGCATTTGCATTTAAATGCTCATTGAGGCACTAAATGTGGAACGTTTGCGTAATGTGTATTAAGCATACGCAGCGTATGCATGTGCAATCGTGTTTCGTGCTGGCATAATAAAATTTTAATTCGCAACGATTGATGGGCTGCACACGCATCAATGGCGCTGATCCTAAATCCAAAATGACAACAACAACAACAACAACAAGCAGCAGCAAAAGTCGCCAAGAGACCAGAGGTAAAAGTCTGAGAGCGACAGAGACAGAGAGGAGAAGAGAAGAGAGAGTAAAAGTAGAGGCAACACATTAAATTTTATATGCCATCCGGTGCTTATTTGCATACACACACACATGCACACTTATTGGTTGTGTATGTGTGTGTGTGTGTAAGGCTGTAACATTGATTGGATTTGTTTGAGCTTTGCAACAGCAACAGCAGAAAAAGGGCGACACATTGAGGCGGGGGCGTGCCTCATGGGTTAAGTTTAAGTGCCTGGCATTTGGCAAATGCCATAGAAGCTCTCGTGCAGCCTGTAGTTTACATAGACACACACACTCACACCCATAGACACTCACATTGTGTGTAATATTTTCTCATTTGCTCGACCAAAATTGCGGCTGCATCGTTTAATTTAATGCCCCTTAATTACGCTTCTATATATTCATCTCTCACACTA